ATCTTGGAGGCTAGCACGGATTTTAAACTCAATCAAATCTCTTAAAAAATAGCCCGAGGGTGCATTCGAACCCATCCTCTCACTAGGAGAACAAACACAATTAAAATCACCGGCTATAATCCACGGGTCTTTGATTTGATCCCCAAGAAGAGCCAAGTATTCCCACAATGCCTTGCGCCTCAAGACTGTATAAAGTGAGTAAACAAAGGTAGCAAAGAAAACAGTTTGCGAAGTGCGGCATAGACATTTAAAATGCATATATTGTTCCCCCATTTCAATCAAATTGCATGATATTAAATTAGGATTCCAACACACTAAAATTCGCCCCCCATCAATAAAATCATGGTTTGTTTCAAAAGACCAACCGGGCCATTTATTAGAGACATAGTTAAAAATATTTATTTTTGTCATTTTGGTTTCTAAAAAACAGCATAAGCTTGCTTGGTGAAATTTAACTAAATTTGAAATAGTAGAGTGTTTGGATGGTTTTTTCAAACCTCTCACATTCCATACTATTGCTTTAAAATTCATCCGAGACCGATTCGTTGGAGAATTGGCAGCCCTCCTTATTCGCCCCTTCCTTACTTTTTTTGATTGCTTCAAATCTCCTCATTGCCTCCTTGAAATACTTCTTGTTTTCCCTAGTTGTTACATCAAAAAAAGAAGCCACATAAGTATAAAAAATGCTATGATTAAATTTATACCATTCATAATGCGGTGTCACTCCCGGTAGCTTTCGAAGGTATTCATCCGTGAATGAGATTCCTCCCTCGTCATCCCTCACTTTTTGTAGTTCCGGTCCAAGCCTCTTGATTTGGTGATGCGATGGGATCTCATTCTTTTGCATTACATATACGGTCTTCTTTTTGTTATCATCATAAACGATTCTAGTGACCACATCTCCCTCTTGAATATCATATACATTGCGAATGATCTCTCTCCCCAATTCATCAAAGCTAATGTTCCCACTCTTCGGAAAATTGATAGCCTTTTCACTTGATTTGTTCCCGGAAGATGCCTTTGAAGTCTCGGCAGTTTGTTTAGGAACGGTGAGCCTCGGTGCAATTTTAACTGCCTCGGCAGTTTGTTTTTGGGCATTGGCAGCCTGTTTTGAGGCCTGGGCAGTAGGGGTCGTGGCCTTAGGTGTAGAGGTTGAAGCCGCGGCATTAGTTGTAGGCGCCTTAGAAGTAGGAACCTTTGGCGTGATCAAGTTGCGCACATTTGCTTTGGGTTTAGAGACCCATTTCTTTTTCTTCTTGGCCTCCACCCACTCCTCATTTTCTTGCACATCATTCTTTTTCTTTTCAACCCATATTTCCTTCCCTTTGCCATCATCCTTTGATTTCTTTCCACTCACATTGAAGCCTTTTTTTCCCTTCGGAATGTCACCGGGTTGGTTGGGACACCCCTCTTTTGAGTTGTTAGCCGCGGCATTGGCTGCCCTTACCAAGTTGTTGGAAGCTTTTGCATCATTAGTCACGGCTTTAGCATCCTTGACCTCACTCTCTACCAACTCCTTGTTTAACACTTTGCATGTAAAGGGGTGATGTCCATAAACCTTGCACTCAAAACAATAGTTAGGAAAAGTTTCATATATGACATATTGATTCCTTTCCTTACCGGATGGTTGTATAATCGGGATGGACATAGTAGGCGGCCTAGTGAGGTCAACCTCAACCAATACCCTAGCAAATTGAGACCTCTATTTTTCTTGAGTCACCTTGTCCGCTACAATAGGAACTCCAACTCTAGAGGCAAGCTCACTCATCTCTTGTTTGTTCCAAAGTGTAACCGATAGGCCGGGGAATTTAACCCATATTGGGACTTTTAAAAATTCCTCACCATCAAAGTCAAAGTCCTCGGATAATATCCTTAAGAACACGGCCTTACCATAAAGGGCATAGGGCCCTTCGGCCATGACTTTGTTACGGTCATTCTCACTTTGAAATGGGAAGATCACCCACCCTTTGTCATGTTGCTTGAGCTTGCATGGGACTCCCCATTTGATGGATAGATCATGGAATGCTCGCATGCCCGGAAATCTACCTGAAACAAACCCCACCAAGCAATACCCCCAAATATCAATAATAGTAGGGAGTTTTCTATGAGAGAAATCTACCTTTTCACCTTTTGGAGGGATATATTCCAACTTCATGTCATGCTCAATGGACCGGTTGTTTTGGAATAATTGATTCCAAGCATTCTTCTTTGGCTCTTCTTTCTTTTCTTTGTTTCCAACCTCAAATAGGGAATCAACACTTCCCGTTTCCACATCATCCTCATCTTCCACAAGGCCATCAATTTTTGTATTTTCCATCCTTTGCTCCTCTTGAATTTGCTTGAAGGAGAATTCAATAGACCCTACTTTGATGGACTTCTCAAAAGTAGGATCAATATGCGTAGCCTCCACCGGTTTGGACACCCCCGAGGAGGAATCCTCCACCATAGCTTTGAGGGAGACATCCTCCATCACTTGTGGCTCCTTAGTAGCATTGGCCTCATGTAAATTGATCTCCTTTGTTATAGGTGCAGTTTGCACCGTTAGCTTGGGAGCAATTTTAGCTTTCTTGGATGTTACTTCCTTCTCACTATTCTCCACTTCTTTCTTGTTAGCCTCCATCTCGGCTTTTCTTGCATTCAACTTCCTTATTTTGTCATCAAAAGCCGAGTCTTTAGATGGCGGTGTATGAGATTGTTTATTGTGCCTAGTCATTGGACAATACACATTCCTTGTACAAGAGCTTGGCTAATCGTCCTGCAAGAGTTAGCACACACAACAACAAACACCAAAGACTTGGGAGTGCAAAAGTTTGGTTCGTACCTTGGGCAAGGTGTACTTGAAAAATTCTCAAAGTACTCTAGGAAGTATCCCAAAGTATGGCAAGTCCCTAGGTATGCCCAGTTGCACCAACGGATAAGCAAAAAATAAAGTAGACACTCCTAGCACACTTTGTGCACTGTAGCAACCAGTGAGGTCCGGGAATTTTGGAAGTATTCCAAAAATTCCCAAACAATTTTTGGGGGTCCTCCTTAGTATTTTAAGCAACCTGGTAAAGTTAGGATAACCAAAAACCAAGCACAAAATGCACTTCCTTTGAAAATCAGCAAACGGAACTCAAGGAAAACAACAATTTGATATTTCTTACTATATGCAGCTGCCTGGAAGAGTTATATTAAATTACACAACCAGTATGAAACACAGTACAAATGTAACTAGTACTGGATGTACTGTAGCAGTCTTCCAGGGAACCTGGAGAAGATGAACAATTCCGAGAAAATTGGAAATTCCCAGAAAATTCTGAAAAAATTCCTAGATACTCACCAAGTAGTAGGAAACACAATAAACCAAGTAGCACTTTCAACAGATAAGTAATGAACCCAGGAAATTTCGAAACAGTAATCTGACCTGCGTTCCAAGCTACAGTGTCCAAGAAATTGGGGAAAACGTGAAATCTTACCCAAACTTGATGAAACCGGTAGCAATAGCTTAGTCTTGGTCAGATGGTTCCAATGGAAGCCTCAGATTTCAGTTTGAACGTGCAGATTTGAAGAAATCTGAAGGTCAACGCCCTGGCGTGAACAGTGCACCGTCCCAACGGAAAGTTGATTTCTCCGGTACGGCGGCGTTCTGGTGGCCGGAAAACAAGTCCTGGAGGTTCGCCAGAGGCTGGCGACCCCCAAGCTATCTTTTTCTTCCACAAACAACTGTCAAGGTGTTGGATTCAGGCACACTTTCTAAATCGGGAATGAACAGTGAAATCGCGAACTGGGGCTTCTAAAACCGACGATTCTCGCTCCAGAAATCAGTATCCTTCAAACTCAATCGGTAGGGATGAAAGATAAGAGATTTCCGAGCTATAGAATCACATGTTTGCAGGATTTAATTCGTGGATTGATTCGTGAGAGAGCAGCGAAGTAACGAGCAAGCTAAGGAAGTTCGCGATGCGTAACTTTCTTAGAGAGAAGGACGAGCGTTCTCTACGCGTTACTACTCCATCATTAAGTATTAAGTGAGTATGTAGTACGGTACAGTATGAGACTTTATTATTATCAGATACATTCTTTGAAGTCATCATTCACCATTTTTATTTACTATTACAAAAATGAAATTTCTATTCACAAATTCACGCCGAATCTAATGCAAATAGCTAGCTAGGATTATATTAGGTGTGAGATCACTTCAATCTTGTGTGAGTTGAGTTCTACTCAAATCCCGGTCCGGTATTGCCCCGCCTGCCTTAATAGCTTCGGTTATGGAAGCTACTCGAAAAAGGCACACTATAACCGGTTTTTAGTTGTTGGTTCGGTTCGGTTCGGTTTTAGCCTAGCTCGGTCGGTAAATGTCTGGACAAAAAAATCTACTACGTATATTTGTGAGGATGTTTTGAACCTACTTTTATGTTTCAAAAATGTAAATGTCAAACTTCATTTCACATAATAATCACATAAACCAGTAGTAATTCAAACAATATCTTGTCGTAACTTAAAATTTAACAAAGTCAAAGATGGTCAACTAATAAACAAAGAATTGCTCATTAATAGACTTTATTTGTGTCCCTAATTACATGCTTCACGATTGTATTTTCTCTTTATTTAATTTTTATATAGATGACGTGAGTTTGGTTTTTTTTTCAGTATAGACCTTTGTATTTTTTGGGGCATAAATAAAGCAGGCAAGACAGAAAACACCAGTACATCTATCTGTCTGTTTGTTTATCTATCTATCTATCTATCTATCTATCTATCTATCTATCTATCTATCTATCTATCTATCTATCTATCTAATCTATCTAATCTATCTATCTATCTATCTATCTATCTATCTATCTATCTATCTACCTACCTACCTATCTATCTATCTATAGATCGATTCATCCATCCATCCATCCATCCATCCATCCATCTATGTCACGCCTCGGATCTATCCGGATACGTCAACAATCCGCCGTACAATATGAATAGTCAACCGCAGTCTAACTCATCCATATTATACAAGGCGTCTCGAATATCATTCACACATTAGTCATCCATAAACATACATAATAAGTAATTGAATACGCAGCGGAAATCATAGTTTGAAAACAAGTGCCACACGGGGCAAACACGAGCATGCAGGCTCCATAATGAAAAACAATATCCATGAGCATGTTTAAATTGTTTAAAAACAGAATGGAGGAAGCACGAACCAAGTCTTCCCTCCGAGATGATCGCCCGATCAACAAGCACAGGTAGCAAGCTCTAGCCTCAACCTGAAATGGTGGTGGGACGCCCCCCCGAAAGGGGGTCAGTACTCTATACGGCTATAAAGTACTGGTGTGGATGGCATCTAATAGATATACAACAAGTATTTCAAACACAAGACCCTCAAATAGGGTGATAATATAATTCTATGTCGTAACCCAAGTTACCCTTTTTTAAAATACACTTACTTTATATATAAAGTCAAGTAGTCGGCACATGGCCCAAAGTTCGTTTACAAAACATAACCCAAACCCTGTGACCTCTAGTCACGACAATACATAGGGTTCAACCCTAACACACATAATTGCATTTCTCGAGTCCAACTCGACTACATCACCATGCACATCAATCATAAGTCAATTACTTCACCAATCTCCGATGTCATGTTCACCCATGCAATTCTAGAGCATCGGGCTCAAGTACATCTCCTTACATGGGCTGAACCAAATCCTTATGTCTACCCAATGCAATTCTAGAGCATCGGGCTCATGTACATCTCCTTGCATTGGCATAGACCCCAATTCCTAAGCACTTGCTATGCCTAGAATTGTAATATCAATAATCTATTTCAGGACATCCTTACGGACTGCCTCATCATGATCTTAGCATCACATTACAACAATTTACTCACATGAACCACAATCAAGTATATCAATTACAATCAAATCCTTAGATTCAATTTCTTAACAATTACAAACAATCATTAACTAGTATTCCAATACTATTAAGATTATTCCCATCAATCATATATTTCATTTGTGAATCCCTACATATTTAGAAATATGTAGCAGCAACTTAGTCATCCAATGTAATACATAAATAATCATTTATGTATCTACACAATTCACACATGAGTAAAAATGCATGGTTCACACAATATTTCATTTAACTCCATTTTTATCAATATGATTTCCAAATCATTTGGAATTTCATTACTTATCTAATATATCAATATTTCATCAATAATCAGTCATTATAATCCATGAAAAAACATGATTTAGGTATTTAGGTAATCTCATGCTTAACCTACAAGTTGTAAGCAACTAGATGTCGATCCTCACCTCAAATGAGCTTTAAATTGTTCCTTCTCAACCCAATGCTCAAGCTTTGGCCAAGGGGGTTTGAGAATTTATTACTTGCTTATAAATAGGTTTTAAACAGCCTCCTCAAGGTGCTTTCTCAACTCCTAACCGAACACACGAAAACAGCCCTTAGAACGGGTGTTTTCCGGCGAATTCGTTCCCTAACCTTTCAAGGTTTTGTCTAGGTTAGTATCTAACCTTTCCAACGAATAAAATCACTTCATAACAACATTTTATACACCTCAACCAGTGTAAACTAGTTCCTCAATCATTTATATGATTTAGACAATAGAAAGGAAGGTTTTGGATTCGAACTTACTTTGAATGCCAAAAACGTATTCTGCGAGGTTGCGTTCTGTTCGGCTGATTTAGAGGCCTTAAACTGCTCCGTTTTCTTCAAACCACACGTATACGGATTCCTCTTTTCGATAGCTTTCAGTGGACACCTCCCACGCCTCTCTTGGATGAGTAGAACGCGAGATATCAGTCGCAAAAGAAGGCCAACGCACTGGAAATCTCCCCTGCGGCCAGCTCTCCAATTTCCTCTCTTCTTGGGTTGTGCGGATCCCCTCTCTTCCTTATCTCTTTTAGTTCTAATGGGGGTGAGGGATGGGTTCTTAGAAGCTCTCAATGTGATCTGAACGAGTGGCTCTAAAAAAAAGGAAGGGTAGGGTATTTGATCCCAATCAAACATGGGATGGTCCTCCTCTTTTATTTCTCTTTTGTATTGTTTGAGCTCTTAACTCAATAGGTCCACCCCATTTATGAGTTATAACTCATTCTACTTGTTTTGAAGGTTCTAGGAAGGTGTGGGACGTACTCTCATGTCCCCTAATTAATTTGGGAGCAAAATATCTACCAAAACATCCAAAAGTGAAAAGATGGGTCATCATTTTTGTCTTTCGTCCTAAGATGTACTTTTGTACACTCCCCAATTTATTCAGATCAAGTCAACCTCATACATCATATTATCGGTCTCTAATATGTGTAGGGTGGTCTCAGTAATTTATTTGATGTACAATTACAAAAGAAAACCCTACTCCCATTATTTAGCCTAATAATACCAAAGATGGGACCATATGCATTTGTATTCTTCTCAAATCATTCCGTCATTCATTTATGATGAATATATATATATATATATATATATATATATATATATATACAAATATATATATCTGGGCTACCAACCGTGTGGGTCACCCTCCAATGGGTCTAGGATGCTATTCTTGAATAATTACTATTTTTAGCAAGTTAGGATGTTGGGCCCCGATATCAATGATATGGCCCAATTAATTATTTAGAAGCACGTTACCATTGTATGAGTCCAAATAGTAATATGATTAACCATACGTTCCGTAAAACTTTAATCGTTTTACAATTGTTCGAAAATAGGAAAATTCAATACATAAGCTTTGAAATTAAATTTGAATTTCGAGGACGTTCGTGTAACACCCCTAAATTTCCCGCCCAAAACATTGACATATTTAAAAGAAATACTTTATTCATTTATCAAAGAGTTGAAGAAATACAGCGGAAGTCTAAAAGGGAAATGAGTGTTACCGCCACATTCGGTCATCTCTTAACCGAATGCACAGGCAACTCAAAGTAAAACAATAAAAACTAATGTAATAATAAGTAATGTTTGATTTATGACTAGATTTAACTAAGACATCTTCTAATTCGCACTCAAGCTCGAGCAATCCGTCAATCCACATAGGTATCCAACTCATCACCTGATTTAAGGGAGAAAAGAGAGACAAGAAAATAACAAAAATTAGCTTTAGAGCTAAGTAAGTACTACCCAACCCCGTAAAATAATCAGGTTTGGCTAAAAATAGATTTTTATATAATAATATATAAAAATACTCACACCATCAAAATTCTTTTCACTTTGGTTTTTCTCAAACTACTTCTTTGCTAAAATCTTAAACTTCTCTTGGAAAATCTCTTAGTAACTCTTCTTTTTAAACTTCTTAAGAAAATCACTTCTTCTCTAACTTCCTAGTAATTTAGAACGGCGATGCTCAACCTTTCGATAGAGCCCGGTGGACCGTGGTTACGGACGGCCACCCCGAACAAGTGCCGGTACCACAACTGCTCTGTTGGAAACGAAACGACTACCTTAAGTGTGCACACCCCCTAAAAGGGATTCCAAGCCCTCCGAGTAGTAAGTCATCCCGAGTGGTCGGAACCCAACCACCCCAATTCTAAAATTCTTGAATGATTAGGGACCACTACTATAACTTCTTCTTAAAAGGGATCATAGATCCAAATCTCACTTAAAAGGGATCATAGATCCAAATCTTGCTTAAAAGGGATCATAGATCCAAACTGTACTTCTTAGTAGTAGTAGCTCTAATCACCCTCCACATTTATCCGGATGTGGAAAAACCGACACCTCGGATTACTCCCGAGATGCTATCTTCTTATGAAAATGTAAATTTTATCTTTGCTTAACAATACTTCAAAAATACTTCTTAATTTCTCTAAAAAGTCTCGAAGGTATTTAAAAATATTTAATACACCAAAAGTACTTGATTTATACTTCTTAACTACTATATATATAATATCTTCTCAAAATCTCATACACAAAATTCACAAATCACACTTAATCACATAATGCATAATAAGCATATAATACGAGGAAACAATTTTGGATTGGCAGAGAAACTTACCTTAAGTCCTGTTGCTCCTAGTTATCCTCCTCTAATCCGGTCTCTAGATAATCACCTTTTTAATTAAATATGATAAAATTAGTCACTTATTCTATTTGTAATTACTTTACCCGATTTTCTCCTTTTATTTTATTATTTGAATTTATTAACTTAATTTATTAGTTATTCGGATTTATTTGATTACTCGCATTCTATTAATAAAATTACCTTATTAATTTCATACATTAATTTTTAATATTTGAAATAAAATATCCGAATATAATTGACTACAACATCCAATTTTTATTCAATAATCACTATTAATATTAATATTTCCTTATTTAATTACTTAACTAGTTTTATATGGCCTAATTTAAATAAATAGACTAAGAATCGACTTTATAAATTAGTATCCGTCCATAAATATATTTTGGGTCTATATTCGACCTAGGTTGTCCATATATCTATTTTATAATTATTTCTCATAATTATTCCTCTAATTTCATATATCTATTAACCGGTTTAATTACAATTAAATATACTAAACCTTATTTTTATTAATTATAAATGGTCCATAAGGTCCTAGTTAGTCATATATTTATCCTAGTTTACTCTAATATTTATTTCATAATTAATTTCGTTATTTAGTTAATTATTTGCTAAAAGTGTATAAATTGGCCCAATTACCATTAAATCAATTAAAAATAGCTAAAAATTTATTTTTTAATTCTGGTTGGTCCGAATATGTATATTTATACTAGGTATTTAATTTATATTTTTCCAGATTTTATTTATTTTATTTACTATTTTATTTTTAATTTTTATTGCAACTGGGCCGAACTGGGCCAAATTTTATTTTCTGGCCCAATCCAGAAAAAGGCCCAAAAAAATTCTGGCAGTCATCTTCCTCACTACCTCGCCGGAAAACGGGAAAAACAGGGGGGGGGGGGAGAACTTACTCCGTTTGGACGAGCGAACGGCCGAAAATGGTGGTAGCAGGGCGGCGAAGGTCAGAGGTGGTACGGCGGCGGCGGCAGCTCCTCCTTCTTCTCCGTTTTCCGTCGAAATGTTTTTTCTCCGGCGAAACTCCGGCGAGGCTTTTCTCCCTCGTTTCACGACCGTTTTCGACGATTCTTTTTCCGTTAGATTCGTATTACGAAGGGGAAGGTTTGGGAAGTATTTTCGCGGCTTGGTTCTGGCTAAAACGATGGGTCGCAATTTTTTATATATATATATATATATACGTATATATGTATGTATATTTCGTAGCTTTTTGGGATGAAGAAAACGTAGGTTCTGGTCTATTATTTATAGGGAAAGATGAGGGTTTTAGGCTGAGATGTTAGAGTTGGAGTTGGAGTTAATTTTTTTTTTTTTTTTTTTTTTTTGAAGTTGCCGGCCAAAGCTACCGGGAATAGTTTTACCTCCCGTAGGAGTTTACTTAATACTATATACGTAGTAGTAGTAATATAATAGTAGGAGTATACTATTCTAGTAGTTCATTTAGGAGTATAGTAATTATATTTAGGTATATATTAGTTATACGTAGGTTTACGTATGTAATATTATGTATGTTATATTACTATTACTACGTACGTGTATATATATATATATATATATATATATATATATATATATATATATATATATATATGTATTAAGATTATTTTATTTATTTAGTTTATCTTTTGTATATTATACAATCTAAAATAGTTATAAAAATTAATTTTATACTAAATTGTAACTTCTTTTATCGGGCCATTTTTATCTGATTAAAAAAAATCGTGAACCTGGAAATTTTATCTGATTAGAATGTTATGACTGTTGAATTTTTTTCTGACTCAATTAATAATTAAAATGTTATTTTCGTAATATTTTATCTGATTAATAAAAATTATTATTATTATTTTTTTTATTTAAATTTTTGAAGTGTCACATTCTACCCTCCTTAAAAGATGTTTCGTCCCGAAACATTAACTTAATCTAAGTACTCAAATTCTTAAGTATTACATTCTACCCCCCTTAAAGAGAGGTTACGTCCTCGTAACTAATATTTTACCTTAGTCGAATAATTCTGGATAACGTTTGCGCATATCCTCCTCAGTCTCCCATGTGGCTTTTTCGGCCAAATGGTTAGACCACAACACTTTCACCATTTTGACCACTTAACTTCTTTTCTCACAAGTCTCTTAAATACTAAGGCATTCAAAAAGTCCCTACACTATTTGAACCGCAAAGTTCTTCACTAGGTCCATACTAAACTCTAACACATATAGACATTCAAAGATGTCATCAAAATTCATATATTTCACACGAGCAAGCAACTACATAAATTTCACTACTCAATCATATAACTTGAAAATCTCACATTATATCCTCACCGCGTTCCTAACAGGTCTTTTTCCTAGTATGTTAATTCTCCTAATTTTACAAAAACATTTTGAAAATCCCCGCATCGAAACTATAGTTTTCGTCAAAGATTTCGAACAACGAAATTTCGGCACAAGGAGAAATTCCCAGTTAGTTGGACGAGCGCAAGGCTCAATTATGCACCAACCAGCTAAGACTGTTATCGTCTTTGTGACAGAATTTCTCCCTACGACCTATTACCTCGTGTTCTAGTCCCTTCGGAAAACTTAAGGCTCTGATACCAATTTGTAACACCCCTAAATTTCCCGCCAAAAACATTGACATATTTAAAAGAAATACTTTATTCATTTATCAAAGAGTTGAAGAAATACAGCAGAAGTCTAAAAGGGAAATGAGTGTTACCGCCACATTCGATCATCTCTTAACCGAATGCACAGGCAACTCAAAGTAAAACAATAAAAACTAATGTAATAATAAGTAAATGTTTGATTTATGACTAGATTTAACTAAGGCATCTTCTAATTCGCACTCAAGCTCGAGCAATCCGTCAATCCACATAGGTATCCAACTCATCACCTGATTTAAGGGAGAAAAGAGAGACAAGAAAATA